GAATAGTTCCCTGTAATCACTGGTCATTAAAATTAACCTATCATATGAAGTTGCTCTCAAAGTGCTATGCATAACCTATATATCTTTCAACTTAGCAAAAAAAAAAAAAGAAATTTTTTTTTTTTAAAGTCAACTCTCCTTCATTCCTCATCAAGGAGGCTTCACTGTATATACTAAGCCTAAGTTGGTCTCCTCCTCATGGATGTATTAGATCACAAAATTAATTGAGAACACTATTTAAATGTTATTCCTAGACCACCAAACCTCCAACTTTAGCAGAAGAATCCAAATCACAAAAATAAGAGCCCAAATACAGGACATAGAAGTCAAAAATATCATAAAAAACATCAACAACAAAAAAAGCTGATTCTTTGAAAGAATTAACAAGATTGATGGGCTCCTAGCCAGACTGACCAAGAAAAAGAGAGAAAAACCCCAAATAAACACAATCAGAAATACAAAGGATCAAATCACAACTGACCCTAAAGAAATACAAGAGATTAACAGAGATTACTGTGTACACCTATATGGAAACAAACTTGATAACCTAGATGAAATGGAAGACTTTCTGACATCACACAACCTACCCAAGTTGAAACAAGAAGACATTGAGACACTAAATAGACCAATAACAACCCAGGAAATTGACTCTGTCATACGAAAACTACCTACCAAAAAAAAAAAGCCCTGGACCGGATGGCTTTCCAGCAGAATTCTACAAAACGTACAAGGAAGAGCTGATACCAATCCTATTGAAAGTATTCCAGGTAATTGAGAAAGATGGAATTCTCCCCAAAATATTTTATGAAGCTAACATCACCCTGATACCCAAACCAGGTAAAGATGCAACAAAGAAAGAGAACTACAGGCCAATATCCCTTATGAACATAGCTGCAAAAATCCTCAACACAATTCTAGCAAATCAGATCCAAAAATACATCTCAAAAATCATCCACCATGACCAAGCAGGCTTCATCCCCAGGGTGCAGGGCTGGTTCAAAATTCGCAAGACCATAAATATAATTAAATACATCAACAGATATAAAAACAAGAACCACATGATTATCTCATTAGATGCAGAAAAAGCTTTTGATAAAATCCAGCATTTCCTTCTTGATTTAAAACCCTCAAACACCTAGGTATAGAAGGAACATACCTCAAAATTGTAAGTGCCATTTATGACAAACCCACAGCTAACATATTGCTAAATGAACAGAAACTTGAAACATTTCCCCTGAAAACTGGAACAAAACAAGGCTGCCCTCTCACCCCTCTTGTTCAATATTGCGTTGGAAGTCCTAGCCCAGGTAATTAGATAAGAGAAGCAAATTAGGGGTATCCAAATAGGAAAAGAGGAAGTCAAGTTACCCCTCCTTGCTGATGATATGATCCTATACCTTGAAAATCCAAGAGAATCTGTCAAAAACCTGCTAGCACTGATAAAGGACTTTGGCAAAGTCTCAGGGTACAAAATAAACGTGCAAAAGTCAGTTGCATTCCTATATACCAACCACAAGCAGCAGAGACCCAAATAAGAAGCACAATCCCATTCACAATAGCCACACAAAAAAAGAAATACCTCGGCATCTTCCTAACCAGAGAAGTGAAAGACTTTTTCAATGAGAATTACAAAACACTGCTCAAAGAAATCCAAGAAGACACAAACAAATAGAAAAATATATCATGCTCATGGATAGGGAGAATCAACATTTTTAAGATATTCATCCTACCAAAGGCAATCACAGATTCAATGCAATACCCATTAAGTTACCAACATCATTCTTCCCAGACCTGGAAATGACAATACAGAAATTAATATGGAAGCATAAATGACCATGAATAGTCAAAACAATCCTTAGCAAGAGAAACAAAGCAGGAGATATCACACTTCCAGACTTCAAACTGTATTATAAGGCTACAGTAATCAAAATAGCCTGGTATTGGTATAAAAACAGGCACATAGACCAATGGAACAGGATAGAGATTCCAGAAGCAAAGCCTCAATTCCTCAACTAACTCATCTTTGACAAAGCCTCCAACAACAACTACTGGGGAGAGGAAGACCTACTCAGTAAATGGTGCTGGAAAAACTGGATGACCACATGCAGAAGACTGAAACAGGACCCCTATCATACACAAAAATTAACTCTAAAGGGATCAAAGACCTAAACGTAAAACCTCAAACTATAAGAATCTTAGAAAACGCAGGAGATACCCTTATGGAAATTGGAACTGGGAACCAATTGCTACTCATAACCCTAAAGGCCAATACCTTAAGAAATAAGATAGATAAGTGGAACCTCATCAAATTAATAAGCTTCTGCAAAGCAAAAGAAACCACCAAGAGAGCAGGGAGAGAGCCCACAGAATGGGAAAAAATATTTGCCAAATATTTGCCAAAGGCCTAACATCTAGGATCTACAAGGAACTCAAATGCACCAAACGGAAAAAAACAAACAGCCCCTTTAAAAAGTGGGCAAAAAACATGAATAGACACTTCTCAAATCAAGATATACGGGCAGCCAACAGACACATGAGAAAGTGCTCAGCTTCACTCATCATCAGAGAAATGCAAATCAAAACCACACTGCAATACCACCTAACCTCTGTAAGAATGGCCATCATCAATAAACAACAACAGACGCTGGCGAGGCTGTGGAGAAAAAGAACGCTTCTACACTGCTATTGGGAATGCGAACTTGTACAACCTCTCTGGAAAACAGTCTGGAGATTTCTGAAAGAACTAGAAATTGACTTTCCACATGACCCAGCAATTCCCCTATTGGGAAAATACCCGAAGGAACTCAAATTATTCTACAAAGAAGATACCTGCACATGTATGTTTGTTGCAGCTCTATTCACAATAGCAAAAACATGGAACCAACCATGTTGCCCATCAAAGCTGGACTAGATAAAAAAAGTGGTACATATACACAATGGAATATTATGCAGCCATAAAGAACGACAAATATATGGACTTTGCAGCAACCTGGATGGATTTGGAGTCGATTATACTCAGTGATTTATCACAGAAACAAAGAACAGAGTTCCATATGTTCTCACTCATAAGAGGACCTTGAACAATTATAATGCTATAAAAAAGTGATTGTCAGTAGTAGGAAACTGTTGGTGGGGGGGCGATATTGGCAATTGAGGGAAACTGCTAGGAGAGGGAGGCGCATACCTCATTAACAGGGGTATCTGCATGATCAATGCTTGTATACCTAACCCTGAATTGTACCCCACATCTTTATAATAAAAATTTTTTAAAAAAGAGCTATTCCTAAATACCTATTTTGGATAAACTCAGCAAAAATTTATAGCTAATAATGAAATTAAACCGAGGGTCAAAATACAAACTTTTATCTATATTCCATTTGATTATTTTCCAAAACGATTTTTCTTAAAATGTAATAACATCTTTTACTGTGTAAATTGCTTAAAATTATACATGAAGTGGCCTTCTAGAGTTTATATTTTTCTACTCAAAGTAACTCTTAACAGAATCTTAAAATTCTGTCTTATAGACCAAATGACATTGAATCTTGAAATCACATTAGTTAAACACATGAAATAACAATTATGTGACCTATTTGGATAAAGCTCAAATATTGTTAATCTTTCAGTAGAAATAACTAGAAGTTTCACAATAAAGCTCACGCACTATTCATGGCTTTAAGAAAATCCATTTATACTACTCACTATTCTTTCCACAATGTTTGTGTATGTTAGCTGTTAGCATTATAAGATTTTACGATATAAGCTAACAGTATTTTTTCTTTCTTGGGTAGTTTTCATTCAAACAGAGTCAATTTTTAAATGCTTAGAAAGCAAGCAAAGTCTTTTTAAATTTTTTTTTGTTTGTTTTTTAGTTCAGGTCTCACTCTGTCACCCAAACTAGAGTGCAATGGCACAATCACAGTTCAACACAGCGTTGAGTTCCTAGGATCAGGTGATCTTTCTGCCTCAGCCTCCTGAATGGCTGGAGCTGTAGGCATGTGCCACCACGCCTGGCTAATTTTTCTGACTTTTTGTAGAGATGAGGTCTTGCTATGTTGCCTAGGCTGGTCTCAAATTCCTGGGCTCAAACAATTATCTCACCTTGGCCTCTGAAGTCCTTTGATTACAGGTATGAGCCACTGCATCTGGCTGCAAAGCCATTTTTTAAATGCTAACCATGGGGAAAATAGTGAAAGAAATAGAAAGATATACAGAAAGCAATGAAAAATCAAAAAGAATGAAGTCTATTTTATGACTATTTCACCATAGCCTTTCAATCTGTTATTGGAATAACTAATAATTGAACACAATATTTTTATTGGAGGAAAATCCCAAAAAACATTATAAAATGTGACTAACCAGCCCTTCTTATTTAAATATAAATATAATTATTAAGTTTTCTAGTTAATATGAGGATTTTTACAATTGTTTGTTAGGAATTGACATAAGAAATGCAGAATCATGTTAGATTGAGAAATCTGAAATACTAGTTCATAAATATGGTTACTTCTAAGTTCAATACATGCTTCTTCATTCAAGCTACAATTTAATCAGAGCTAGTTTTACCTACTCCAGGTATCATTTCTAGTTATTATCAGTTCTTTGTAAATGTGAAATCAGCTGTTATAACTTCTACAAGTTTGCCTTAATTATCCTTGCTCTTGCCAAGGGCCAGCCTGAACGTAGCCAGTCATAACAGGATAAGCAATGAATATGAGAGAAAAGGATTTAAAAAAGGACAGAAAGTGAAATAAAGAATAGAGGTTCAGAAAATAAATGGGGCAAAGTATAAGATAAGGTAAGCAAATCTTTCTCTCTAAAAGACTCCTGACCAATTGGTATAACAAAAAGTTGCCTGTATCATACAAACAATCATAGTTTATGAGAAGAACTATTAAACCAAAATGTATCCCACATATAAAATTACACCCATAATTCCTATCACAATGCTGAGCATCTAGCATGTGCTCAATTAATATAAATGAGATTCAATCACTTACCTTATCAAGTTCACTTGTTAGCTTTTTATTTTCTTCAGTTAGTAATATTTTTTCTCTTTCATACTGTTGTTTGAACTCATTTTCAAATTCTTCCCTTTCACTTTGACTAGCATAATTCAAAACATAAAAGGAAAAAAAGAATTAAAGGTCAACTTGAACATTTTTTTTGCAGTAGTTATACAAAAATATCAAACTGAACTCCAGCAACTTCATTCACACAGAATACAGCATGATTATATGTAATTCACAGGTCAGATGCAAGCGCCTTCTAAGAATTTACAATACAATAAGGCGGACTTATTCACTCATCCACTTAGCAAATATTTACGGAATGCCTACTAGATGTCAAGAAATCATAGGCCCTAAGGACATTCCAGTAGAGGGGAACTGGCAAGGAAAAGTAAAATGAACTAATTTCAGATAATAAGTTCTACATAAATACATAAAATATAGTAATATCATAAAGAGTGTCTGGGAAGGGGTGGCTAATCTAGGTTGCATAGTTAGAGAAAGAAGGTTAATGAATAAACTACCAAAATGAAATCAATAATTGTCATCTGCTTCACATTCAATATGTTTTACACAAAGACAAATTAGTCTAAGACCAAATTAGAAACTTTTCTTTGTGTATCTGTACCACAATTTCTTACAAAATACAAAGTCCTGGGCCATTACTTAAGACTGAATCAGTTACTTTCTAGTGTTACCAATTTAACTAAGAATAGTATTCCAAACTTTTCGATCATAATTAGAAATTAATTTATATCTGAATTTAGAAAAATTTTAAAAGTTACTTTAAAATAATTTCAATTTTATAGAAAAGACAAAAGAATAGCACAGAGTTCCTATATTCTCTAACTCAGATCCCCAATTGTTAACATTTTATTGCATGTTAACATTGTAAACATACTAAGTTATTTACATTTTACTGCACTGTTCCATTACTCTGTTATGTCTGATTTCATTAGTCTTCTTTTCAACAACTGAGAGGGAGCTGTAGGTATTATGCCTTGTTACCCTTAAACACTCCAGGTTTATTTATATCTCTCAAAGTCAAGGATACCCTCTGCCATAACCATTAAGCAAACTTCCAAATTAGAAAAATCAACAGTTAGAACACTACCATCCAAATTCACAGACCAAATTTAAGTTTTGTCAGCTATCTCAACAATGTCTTCATTTCTTATTTAGTCCAACATCCAACTGAGAAACATATGTCATGTCTCTTCAACTTCCTTTCGTCTAGAACAGTTCCTTGGTCTTCCCTACTCTCACAATTGTGTACGGTGACACTTAACCTGGGTCCATCTGATGTTTATGACTAGTCTCAAAGAAACTTTTCTTGGCTGGAATACACAAGAATGATGCATGCTCTTCTCAGTGCATCCCAACAGGAGGCACAAATTTTATCTGTGCAACACTGACCAAACCTCTTAGGCTAAGTTAAGGGTATGGATTCAGAATGAGTGAAGCCCTGAGATATGGGATGTGAGAAATAAATGAAACTTTTTATTTGAGGAATGCAAGCCCCTTTAAATTATCAGGACCAGAAAGGGATCGAAATGTGACTGCAGTCACATCTCGTTCTCCTCCAAAGTAAACTGCTATGTCTGTTATGTGAACTCTAGATTGATAACTTTAAATTAACCTAACAAAGCTATACTCTGGACACCACAACTCATTCCTTATAGTCCAACAATGCATTTCGAATCACTAATCAATGTTATTTCTGTAAACCAATGAGAAGTCCTGACAAATACCTTTTGTAATCATGCCCTCTCCTGATTTGTCCTTTTTAATTTAAAAACTTGGGCCTGTCTTCTGTTCTCTGGGACACTTCTCGGTGTTTTCTGGGCTACAGTCCTCCACCTTGGCCCAAATAAACTCTCTATTAATTTTGCCTTAGTTTATTTCTTTACATTGACAGAGGGGAGTCTTTGGGCAGCAACAGATAATGCTAAGAACTTTGAACCCTCATAACAACTTTGCGTTGGCCCACTCCTTTCTTCCCCTTGCCTTTAAACACCTGCTTGTAACAAAAGTCTACTGGAGCACTCCCCAAGGCAACTGAGAAGTGTGTCCCTGGCAGCTGTCCTCACTTTGGCTCAGGCAAACTCTTTAAAATTATATTTTGTGCCTCAGTTTCTTCCTTTAGGTCCTAAGTATTAGAGTGTTAGGTCCAGGGGAACAAATAAAAGATTAAATACAAGCAAATTCATCAAATGCATGTGCTTATCTGGGATTCGTGGTTTAATGTATTGGCTTAATACTTAGATGTAGTTTTTCACTGCTAGGTTAGGTAACTGAAGCTTGGACCTAATAGTGGCCTACAATGAGTTTGAGATGTTCAACTTATCTGGCATAGAGAACCTACTGTCTCAGGGAGATGAGAATGTTAGAGCAGATCTGTTATGTGCAACCTTCCCAGCCACCTCCAAAGCACACTCCTCAGAACATACAGAGAACACTCCTTTCATCAATGCATTAATAAATAAATCAGTGAGAGGGAATACTAGCATCCTGGGAAGCACTGGCACTGTGGTAGGTGTCCTCAGATGATAAGAATTTACAGATGATAGTGGAAAATGCCACAGTGGAATTATACTCCCTGATTTTATTAAAAATAACGGTATTCTAGGTTAGTTGCTGTACCATCTGCCTTATTTACTACTTATAGCCTGATTGTTCCAAATGCTAATCCTTCCTCTTAAAAGTCACACTCATTTGCATTAGTTAATTAATAAGTGTGTATGATTAATAGCATCTACTTTGTTTTTCATTTGAAAATCTGAGGGAAACATCTGTGATCTTGTAGATTTCCTAAGCCTGCCTCATTTGACGACATATATACTAGAAACTATGGGAAGAAGAGAGGGTTAGGAAAAGAGGAGGATATAAGGACCACAGTATGGTTTCTTGTTCTACAGCTCTAGATTGTATAAAAAGTCCACAATTAAATTTCCAACAGTTCTTTCAATACTTTCAGCCCTTCAGTCTGTCTGTCTGTCCTTCCTTCCCTCATCTAAAACAAACACAAACACATTTCATATTACAAAGTTTATTTAAAATGATAGTTCTGTGGGGGTAGGATTGATTTACCCTTAGAAGTAAACATAGTTCTAATGAACCTTTAAAAAAAATCTTCTAAGGGAGAAAGGGGAATCAGTTTTTAAAGACACACTGTCATGTAGACAAACAGGCTTGTATCTATAGCAATTTGATGGAAAATGTTAGCAATAAATAAATCTCAATGTGGATCAGTTCCAGGTAATTTTATATGATTGCTTAAAGGTGAACAACAAACATAAGTAATGGTGGATCTTAAAAGTGTAATCTTATGAAGATTGGTAAATTTCGTGCCAGCCACCGCTGTCATACGATTAACCCAAACTAATAAAATCCGGCGTAAAGCGTGTTTAAATTATATTCAGACTAAAGTTAAACCCTGACTAGGCCGTAAAAAGCTACAGTGAAACCTAAAATAATCCACGAAAGTGACTTTAATATTTTGAAGACACGACAGCTAAGACTCAAACTGGGATTAGATACCCCACTATGCTTAGCCATAAATATAAATAAATATAAACAAATTTATTCGCCAGAGTACTACAAGCAACAGCTTAAAACTCAAAGGACTTGGCGGTGCTTCACATCCCTCTAGAGGAGCCTGTTCTATAACCGATAAACCCCGATTAACCTTACCACCTCTTGCTAATTCAGTCTATATACCGCCATCTTCAGCAAACCCTAAAAAGGCCTTAAAGCACAAGTATAAACATAAAAACGTAAGGTCAAGGTGTAACCTATGAGGTGGAAAGCAATGGGCTACATTCTCTACTTTAGAGTATTATGAATATTCTTATGAAAACAAGAATTAAAGGAGGATTTAGTAGTAAACCAAGAATAGAGAGCTTGATTGAAATAAAGGCCATAAAGCACGCACACACCGCCCATCACCCTCCTCAAATGCAACCCACACAACAACTACATAAAACAAATCATAGCGCATGAGATGAGATAAGTCGTAACAAGGTAAGCATACTGGAAAGTGTGCTTGGAGTAGACAAAGTGTAGCTTCAACCCAAAGCAACCGGCTTACACCCGGAAGATTTCACAAATGACCACTTTGAACTTAATCCTAGCCCAATCTAAATTAACTAAGTTATACGAAATCTTGTAAACCAAAACATTTACCTTAACCTAAAAGTATAGGAGATAGAAATTTATATAGGCGCTATAGATAAAGTACCGTAAGGGAAAGATGAAAGACACCTTAAAGTACAAAAAAGCAAAGACACTCACTTTTACCTTTTGCTAAATTATTGAAGATAATTATAATTTAAATTATAAAGTCAAGGAAAATAAACCATCCTCTCTACAAGCAAATGTGTAATTTCACAACTACATATAGTCAAATGTTTAATTTAGGTATGTTTAGGAAACTTTCCAGACACAGAAGCAACTTCACCCACAGCAAACACACGGAAAGTTGCAAAAAATACTCTCAGAAAAATATGTACACAGATAGATTGAGTAAAATGGTCATGTAAAACCATTCTTAATTTGTCTTATTGGCATTAAACAAGTTTACATCTCCTATATTAAAAATAATAAACAAATTCTCTTCATACCCTTAAATGAAGTGTGACACTTCATATCCTATTTTGTCTTCTCATGCACTGGCAAGCATCTTGAAATAGTTTCTGTATCCATATTTTCATCATCTAATTGCTCTCTACTACACCAAAATCTGGCTTCTATCTCCAATACCTCAAAAAAAAAAAAAATCTGCTCTCTCAAAAATCAACATTGGCCTAACTGTCACTACATCCAATCTGCCGGCCACCTTTGACAGTATTGTCCATTCTCTCACTCTTAAAATCATGTCTTGCCTTGGCTTTGGTGATACTACACCTCTGGGTTTTCAGTCTATATGTCTGTTTTCTTGTCAGTTGCCTCTGTGAACTCCTCTTTTTCTAGTCCTCCTATAAATGCCAAAACTCCTCCAAATTCTGTCTCAGGTGCTTGCCTCTTTTCTCTCTCACATGCTCTCCAATGACCCAATTACACTACCTGGTTTCAATTATCATCTACTATGCTGAATCTATATCCGATGCTTTTGTGGACTTCAAACTGCGGACATGACATCTCCACAAAGATGTCTCCCAAGCACTGCAAGTTCAACATGCTCAATCCCACAGGAAAGCTCAACACATAGACAAGTTTCCACTACCCTATCTACCTCCTTCCATGCCTATACACCCTTTCTCTTCTCTTACAATAGGTAAAACAAACAAACAAACAAAAAAACTCCCTCAGGACTGAATAAATTCAATCCCTTCATTATGAACCCTTTCAAGTACACTGCTCCAGTACTTTTCTCCTCTCTCCATAGTCACCGATGAGATAATTTATATCAGATTACAGGCATGCTGTTGTTTCTCTTGTATTAAAAAAAAGACAAACAAATAAAAAAGTAAAATAACTTATTTGAGATAGTCTCTCCTCTAGTTATTACCTAATTTCACTGCTTGCTTTTGTGAAAAACAACTCCAAGTAATAATAGTTGTAACTATATTTTGTCTCCAATTGCTCTCATTCAAGTCTCTCGATCCTACTGCGAGGTCTTTGCTTCTACTCTTCCACTAAAATTGTTCTTATCATAGTCACCAACGACCTTCATATTGCTAAACTCAAAAGCCATTATTTAATCCTTATCTCACCTGACATATTGACAGATTTGATATGCTCCTGTCACTTGGTTTCAGGGACACTAAATTAGCCTGGTTTCCTTCTTATCATTCTTGCTGTTCTCTATCCACTTTTCTGGTTTCCCAACTTCTAAAACCTGGAATGCCCCAGGGCTCTCAGTTCTAGAAAATCCCTTTCATCTATACTCATTCACTAAGTTATTTCATATAGTTTCAGAGCTTTAAAAATCATATGAGTTATTTATAAATATTCTCAGGATTTTATTTACAGCCCCCAAATCCAGGCTGGACTATATACATCAGCCTACCTGACATCTCCAACTGGATATCTACTATGCATCTCAACCTTAACTATGTAAAATGGTTTTCTGTTTATGGAAGAGTCAAATTGTGGGGGGAAGGGGGTGGTGGGTGGTGGAATGAGTACTTTTTTTTCTTTTTTTTTTGAGTTGGAGTCTCACTCTGTCACTCAGACCAGAGTGCAGTGGCCACTCTTGGCCACTACAGCCTCAACCTGCTGGGCTCCGGCAATCCTTCCGCTTCAGCCTTCAAAGTAGCTGGAACTACAGGCGCGCACTACCACGCCCAGCTAACTTTTGATTTATTGTAGAGATGAGGTCTCGCCACGTTGCCCAGGCGGGTCTCGAACCCACGGGCTCAGGCAATCCACTCACCTCAGCCTCCTAAAGCACTGGGATCACAGGCTGAGCCACCGAGCCCAGCTGGGTTCTTGATAATGTGATAACGTTCCCAGCCCAAACTTGCCTCATGGGTAGTCTTTCTCCCAATTGCTTAGACCAAACACCTTGTTATCACTCTTGATTCTTTCTCTCTCTCATGCATCATCCATGATGGATAAATAACATCCCTGTCATCATATGTCTATACACACATGTCATTGTCTTTACCTCTGAAGAACATTAACTAACATTCAAACATTTCTTACTATCCCTTTTGCTACCAATCTGGGCTCAAGGTACCATCATCTTTTCCTTGGATTATTGCAATAGCCTTCTTAGTGGTATCATTCTTTTTGCTCTTACCCAACTCAGACAATTACTAACCTAGTATTCAGAGTGACCCTGGTCAAACACAAATCAGTACTTGTCACTTTTCTGCTTAAAATCCTGCAAGATAGTCACGCACTACATAGTGATGCTTGGTCAATTAAGACTGCGTAAATGAAGATGGTCCCATGAGATTACAATAGTGCTGAAAAATTTCTATTGCTTTGTGACATCATAAGCCATCTTTAAGTCGTAAAGTAATGCATTAGTCATGTCTGTGATGTTGGTATAAACAAAATCACAGCTCTGCAAGTCATTTAAAGTATAGCAATACAATTATATACATTAAATAATACTCAATAATGATAACAAATGATTATGCTACTGGTTTATGTATTTACCATACAATACTTTTTAATCTACATGTTATAATGCATTATCTCTACTTATATTTTTTAAAAAGTTAACTGTAAAACAACTTCAGGCAAGTCCTTCAGGGGATATTTAAAAAGAAGGCATTGTTATCAAAGGAGAGGACAGCTCCATGTGTGTTATTGCTCCTGAAGACCTTCCAGTGGGACAAAATGTGGAGGTAGAAGGCAGTGGTATTGATCCTGATCCTGTGTAGGCCTAGGATAATGTATGTGTTTGAGTCTTTGTCTTTAAAAGAAGTTTAAATAGTAAAAAGAAAAAACAGAAAAAAGTTTATAGAATAAGGATATAAAGAATGAAAATATTTTTGTGTATCTGTACAATGTGCTTGTGTTTTAAGCTAAGAGTTATTATAAAAAAAGAAAGGTTTAAAAAATTTTTTAAGTTAATAAAGTAAAAAAGTAACAGTAAGCTCAGGTTAATCTATTACCGAATAAAGGAAAATTCTAAAAATAAATTTAGTGTATCCTAAGTGTACACTATTTATAAAATCTATAGTAGTGTATGGTAATGCCCTGGGCCCTCACATTCACTCACCATTTACTCACTGACCCTGTAAACACCCCTATACAGGTGTACCATCTTTTTTATTTTTATACCCTATGTTTACTGTGCCTTTTCTATATTTAGATATGTTTCGCATACAAATATGTACTATTGTGTTACAACTGCCTACAACATTCAGTCCAGTAATGAAGAACAGGCTAGTAGCCTAGGAGCAACAGGCTATGTGTAAGTGTACTCTACAATGTTCACACAATGACAAAATGACCTAATAATATGTTTCCCAGAACATATCCCTATCGTTAAGCAACACATGACCGTAATTCCCTGCAACAGTTTTACTCAGAGTAAAAAACTGTAAGTCAACTAAATATGACTGACATGACTTTACGTGGCTTACAACAGTGCTTTGTATAGAATGTTTTTTTAAAAATATTGAATAAATAAACGCACCAAACTGAATACACTCAAGCTTCCAATATAAGTTCAAAGTGACAACAACATATATCCAGTTTCCTGAAATCTAAAGACCTAAGCATCACAGATTTTCTCCTGCTCCCTCATTTCTCAAGCTGGTGCTTATGTCCTTCAGTTTCTGTCTTCTCAGTAGACCCTCTGAATCCATCCACTTCTCCCTATCTTCACTATCACCACCTGAGATCCATCACTTCATCTGTCACAGCTGGAGTCCTACCTCCAGTCTGCTCCTTCCAATCCACTCCCCACACAGTAGCAAGAGCGATTGTTTAAAAATGCAATCATGTCATTTTCCTTCATTGACCTCAGGATAAAGTGCAAATGCTTTATACACTTTCATGATTTTGACTCGATTTCCTTTCCAGTCTCATTTCTCGCCACTCCCATCTTTCTATTCGTGCTCCCATCACAGAAAATAGTTTACACTTTCTAAATGTGTTATGTTCCCCTTTTCCTTTAGATCTTAGCATATTCTGCTACCTCTGCCTGGACATTCTTCTTCGGCTACTTCTTTCTTATTATGTAGATCTCAGCTTAGATGCTTTTTTTTTTTTTTTTTTTAAGAGATGGGGGTCTCACTATGTTTCCCACATTGAACTTCAACTCCTGGGCTCAAGCAATCCTCCCGTCTCAGTCTCCCCAGTAGCTGGGACTACAGGTGTGTACCACCATGCCTGGCTAGAAGTAATTTTGGCCAAAAACCCTAGATTAGCCAAAGTTAACTTTTGTGACTCCCCTATATGTACACCTATACTTATCCCATTTGTTTTCTATCATGCTGTATTATAACTGTCTATTCACCAGTCTTGACTTTGAGAACTGAGATATGTTTACTGTCTATGTATCTCAGTATTTGACACATAACAAGTACTCAATAAATAGTTATTGTACACACAAATAACTTGATTCTCACCTTTCTCTCCTGGTTTTTTCCAATTTGTCTTTTAGAATCATAATTTCTTTGTTGAGAGCAAGTTGCTGACCTTCTGAATCATGCAGTTCTTTCTTCAGATTTTTAATTTCATTTGCATGTATTAATTCTCTTTTAGATAACTCTTCTTCATAAAAGATGCTTTTCTTTTCCAAATCAGTCTTTAATTTGGTTATCTCTTGCTGATGTTCTATACTGCATACTCCTGGTAAGTAACCGATTTGCTTTTGCTATGGAAGTAATAAAATATTAGTTCATCTACAAGAATAATAAAATATCAAATAATAACTTTATAATATAAAGAAGTGTTCTTATAACACTATTTTTTATACATCATCATACAAAAATAAAAAGCTTTCTGTATTAAGGCTATTAACTTTTTTCCTGCCCTAAGTTGCAAAATTTTCCTCAGTTTACATTTCTTTATAGTCTTTGCTGTTATTTTTTAAAAGTCTTCTTCACATAAAGATTTATATATTCATCAGAATTTTCTGCCAGGACGTCTTGTTTTACATTTAAATTTCTAATTTATTTAGAATTATTGTTGGTGTATGGAGTGAAGGAAAAAAATCTAATTGCATCTTATATCTGATGAGGAACTGATAAAAAGTTATAAGCACATTTGTGTCTTTAAAAACTAAAATGGGGAAGAGAATGACAGAGCTGGAATGTACAAATGCAAAGAGAGGGAGCTTTTACAACAGTCCTATGAGAAATGGCAAAGGTCTAACTAACACCTCCTTTATATACATGCTAAAAAAAAAGTTAGGCTCTTCACTTCTAGGCAGGACATTAAGAAGGAAGAGAGGGCAGGGAGCAGTGGCTTACACCTATAATCCCAGCACTGTGGTAGGCCAAGGTGGGAGGATTGCTTGAGCCCAGGAGTGCAAGACCAGTCTGGGCAATATAGTGAGACCTCTCATCTCTACAAAAAGTTAGCTGGGCATAGTGGCTCATGCCTGTAATCCCAGCTTACTTGGGAGGCTAAGGCAGGAGGATTGCTTGAGCCCAGGAGTTTGAGGCTGTAGTAAGCCATGGTCATGCCACTGCACTTCAGCCTGGGTGACAGAGTGAGACTCCAATGTAAAAAAAAAAGAGTACTCTTAAAAGGCTGCTTACACCTGTAATCCCACTTTGGGAAGCTAAGGTGAGAGGACTGCTTGAGGCCAAGAGTTTAAGATCTGCCTAGGCAACATAGCAAGACCTCTACAAAATAACAACAAAAAAAATTAGCTGGGTGTGGTGTTGTGTGCCTGTAGTTCCAGCTACTCAGGAGGCTGAGGTGGAAGGATTGCCTGAGCCTAGGAGGTAGAGGCTGTAGTGAGCTATGATCCTGCCACTATGCTCCAGGCTGGGAGACAAAGTTAGATCCCAAATCAAAAAAAGGAGAGAAATTGGATGGAAATCTACTTTTTGAGAAATTAGGCTGAAACAGCTCTCTCATTAATAAGAGAGAAAAGAAAATGAAAAGTACAAAGGTTCTCCCAGGTACTGCCTGGAGGGCAAACAGAAACATATACCAGACTACAGATAATAATTGGAAGATTTCCTGAGTTTTGTACCTTTCCAAAGATCATTCATTTGTAATATCTTATCTGTTTCCCTAAGTTATCATCAATTAAACTTTTAAAACTAAAGAACCCATGGGCTTATGTTTAGTGAAAACAGGAATCAGGATCTGGAGGTCACTGTATTATTTTTTGAAGCCAATCATAAAGGCAGAAAAAGTAGTAAGAGTCATTGATTTAAAGTCAAAAGAAAAAATACACTGGCTGCTTCTCTTTTTAAGCATATAAGCTAAAAAGAACAAAGGAATCAATGTGGGCCCGAGATAAAGCTCTGGGTGTCCACTGCAATATTCAATCATTTCTTTAAAAAATAATTTTCATGTGCCAGATGCAAATTGTCCAATAATTTATGAAGCAGCCTGGTATGCAAAACCCTGGAAGAGCCAGAGCAAGTCAGATTCTTGTTTTTAAGTTTTGCTATGAAAATAATGCCTAAATTGACATCTGCCGCACTGACCACTGACTCAATTTTTCTAGTCGCCTAAAGAAAAGAACACTTTTAGTTTGATTTCTGCTTAGTTTTGTATGACTGTTGGAATGGCAGCAGCAAGCACAAGAAGTCTCAAGGAAAACGATCCTTGAAATCAAAATCTAACCAAGATACCACCAATTAAAGTTACAGATTGTGTATCACTTACTGATAAGAATGTGAAAAGCCAAATAAAACAAGCCAATAGGCTGGGCATGGTGGCTCATGCCTGTAATCCCAGCACTCTGAGAGGCCAAGGCAGGACGACTGCTAGAGGCCAGGAGTTTGAGGCCAGCCTAGGCAACGCAGTGAGAACTTATTTCTACAAAAATTAAAAAAAAAATTAGCCAGGCGTGGTGGCACATGCCTGTAGTCCCAGTTACTCGAGAGGCTGCAGTGAGTTATGATTGTGCCACTGCACTCCAGCCTGGGCAACAGAGTGAAACTCCAACTCAAAAATAAAACAATAACAACAAAAAATAAACAAAACCCAAAAGAAAAAACAAACAAAACTAAACTATATGTAAAAAAAAAAAAAGTACACCCTACCACAAAATAATAGGGTAATTTATTGTTAGCAAATAATAAATATGCAAAACATACATTATTTTAATGGACTAAATTCACAAATCCAAATGACAATCTCAGCAGGTACCCTTGCCAAAAAGTATTTGATATAATTCAGTAATAATGTCAAATAGTGTCCCAAGTCCCATAGTAAAACCATAAAAAAGAGTATAATTGTTTTAATTTTTAAAAGATCCATTTTGAGATATCAGAAAAAATAATACTTAATGGTGAAACATCAGAAGCACACAGTAAGTCTAAAACTAATATCAACAAAAAGGATTTATTCCATGATCATTCTTTGATAACATTAATTTCAGATATTATCTCTAACCAACACGTAAAATAGTCAAATAAATATTGTTCACTCTTAAAATACAAATAAATCTACTTAAAAGTATCAGAATAGAGTTGAGTAAAACAATAGCAGATAAAATAAACATAAATAATACTCTAGATATTAAAGTAGCAATAAATATACTTAAAATGTCATTGTTAATAGCAAAAAGAATCAAAAAATACCACATACAGGCTGGGCATGGTGGCTCAAGCCTGTAACCTCAGCACTTTAGGAGGCTGAGTTGAGAGAATTGCCTGAGCCCAGGGGCTCAAGTCCAGCCTGGGCAACTTGGTGAGACCTTGTCTCTACAATATATCAAAAAATTAGCCAGGCACGGTAGCACGCGCCTGTAGTTCTGGCTATTTGGAAGGCTGAGGCAGAAGGATTGCCTGAGTCCAACAGGTCAATACTGGGGTGGCTGTGAGCACGCCACTGCACTTTAGTCTAGGCAACAGAGTAGACTCTGACTCAAACCACCCCCCAAACAAAAAAAGACATGCTATTATACACAAGCATATGAAATATAACACTAGAGAGAAATTTCTCCAATTTATATGAAAAATTAAAAGTCCTGATAAAAAATATTTTAAAAATTTGAAACAACACAGAAAAATACCAAGTACTTAAAGAGAAGATTAAGCTGTGTGCGGTGGTTTATGCCTGTAATCCCAGTAGTCTGTGAGACACAGGCGAGAGGATCACCTGAGTCCAGCAGGTTGAGGCTGCAGTGGCCATCAGTGTGCCAAGGCACTCCAGCTTGAGTGACAAAGTGAAATTCCAACTCAAAAAATAAAAGAAAATGGGTTTTTTTTTTTAAAGAAGGAAGATTAAATGTATATGTATTCAATATTTTTCAAAGTCCCTTCCATGCAATTCTAATAAAAAATTCTTTTTTAATGTGGGGACAGAAGGGGATGGCAACAAATGTCTCTAGTCTACGGGCAAGAATAGATAAAAACACCAAAGGGAAATGTGGGGAAAAATACCTTTCAAATATTAAAACACACTATAACTCTTCAATGAAGTGTCACTGTAATAGGTCTCCTCTTCAAAATAATTTAATTAAAATATAAGACATCTTTCAATGGGGAAGGCAGTGATTAGTTAATAAATAGAACTGGAATCACCAGCTAGCAATAAAAAAAAATGACTCTGTGTCACAGCATTCAGAAAAACAACTTCCAAGTACATTAAAGAATTCAATATTTTTAAATTCCACAGACACATCCAAGAGAAAACAGAATAGAATACTTATTGAAACTCTGGGAAAAGAAGCAGCAGCCAAGTTTTGAAGCAATAGAAGCAATTCCTTTGGCCACTCACATTTGCAAAGATTTGTGGCATTTATCAAGTGCCTTAAACTAATCACTAATTTCATTTCTAAGAAAATGAGAGAAAAAGTAGTGTACAATGATGTTCATGACAATTATAATATCGCAAAAATAAAAAACAAGGTCAACATTTAATAGCAGAGAATTAGCTATGTGGAAATTCTTGAACTGTTTATAATCACTAAAATTAAGTGTGTGACAATTTGGCAATCAGCAAAAATGCTTATTATACTACTAAATGAAAAATGTAAGTGTTATGGGCTGAATTATGCCCCCTCCTGCTCAAATTCATACGTTGAAGCCCAAATCCACCAGCACTTCAAAATGTGACCTTATTTAAAAATAGGGTATTTTAGAGATAATTAGATTAAAATGAGGTCACTGGGGTGCACCCTAATCCAACATGACTGTGTCCTTATAAAAAAGAGAAATCTAGACGTAGAGACACACACAGGGAGAACTCCAAGTAAACATGAGAGCAGAGATTGGGGTGATGCATTTATAAGCCAAGCAATGCCAAAGACTGCCAGCAAACCACCGAAAGCCAACCAGGCCAATATCTTAATTTTGAACTTCTAGCCTCCAGAACTGAAACAATAAAACTGTTTTCTAAGTCATCTACTTTGTGGTACTTTTTAACAGCAGTCCTAACAAACTAACATGATAGGGTTATAAAAGAAAAAACCTCTAGTAACATATGATAACAATTACAAGGTTATTTAAAATTTTTTAAAAATAGAATTCACATACCATACAACTTACTCATTTAAAGTATAAAATTCAGTTACTTTTGCTTATTGGTATATTACATTATTAATTTTAAGTGGTAAAATATATAACACATTTTTCCATTTTAACCATTTTATGTGTACAATAGCATTAAGTTAGCAATGTTGCTAAACATCACCAATGTGTATTTCCAAAACTTTTTCATCATCTCAAAGGAAAACTCTGTAACCATTAAGAATTAATTTCCTGTTCCCTCCTCCATTCAGATGCTTGTAGTCTCTACCTTCTGTCCCTAGAATTTGTCTATTTTTGATATTTCATTTAAGTGGAATCATACAGTATTTGTCCTTTTGTATCTGGCTTCTTTCACTAAGCATAATGTTTTCAAAATGTAGCTATTATAGCATGTATCACAACTTCATTCTTTTTTATAGATGAATGATATTCACATATCTTTGGGAGTGAATACACACACACACACACACACACACACACACACACACACACACCTCACAGTGCTAAAAAAAATGTAAACACATTTTAAGAGCTGTTATCTATGTATTAGTTTTTGAGGTTGAACTGAATTATGGTAGCAATGTGTAGTATGATATTCGCTCAACCATGTTTCCTCCACTTTCTTTGACTGTTCTGCCTGTTGCATGGTGACACTAACATTCATTTGAGGTACACCATCTTTTGACCAAATATCATAATTAAAACGTGTATTTTTTTTGGCACCCCCTGTATATATATACACATCACATCTTGTTTATGCATCTGTTGATGGATACTTAGGATGTTTCCACCTTTTGGCTATTATAATAATGCTTCAATGAACACTGATGTAATATATCTATTAGAGTTCCTGTGTTCAAATATTTGGGGCATATACTAAGGAGTGGAATTGCTGAGTCATATGTAGTTCTATGTTTGACTTTTTGAAAAACCAAATTGTTTTCAAAAGTGACTGCATCATTTTATAATTCCATTAGTAGTGCTAAAAGGGTTTCTACTTATTTTCTGTTTCTTTTTAAATTTCAGACATCCTAGTAGCTATAAAGTAGTATCTTGTGTTGGTTTCAATATGCATTTCCTTAATGACCAATGAGATTGAACATCTTTTCATGTGCCTATTGGCCATTTGTATACCTACTTTGGAAAATTTCTAAGTCCTATGTCCATCTTTTGATTGGGTTGTTTGTTTTTTTTGTTGAGTTGTAGGAGTTCTTTACATAATTTGGATGTGAAACTTTTTTCAGTATACATTTTGCAAATATTTTCTTGCATTCTTTAGGTTGTCTTTTCACTTTCTTAATAATGTTCTTTGATAAAATATATACAAGTTTTTATATTGATAAAGTTTAACTTATCTATTTTTTCTTTCTTTGCTTAGTCTTTCAGTGTCATTTATAAGAAACCACTACAAAATACAAGGTCTTGTGAGAGAGCTTTATAGTTGTAGCTCTATGATTTTGAGTGTGGATCCAATTTTAGTTGATTTTTATACATGTTGTGAGGACGGTGACAAACTTCATTCTTTTGCATATGGATATCAAGTTGTCCCAGCATATCTGCTATAAAGACTATTCTTTCCCCACTGAATGGAGTTAGTACATCTGTCAAAAAACAATTGGCCACAGACACATGGATTTATTTCTGGACTCAATTATATTTCACTGGTCTGCATGACTATCCTTATGACAGCACACACTGGTTTTGTTGTTGTTGTTTTCTCATTGTTGGGTCTGTTTCTTTCTTTCTTTTTTTTTTTTTTTTTTTGAGTTGGAGTCTCACTCTGTCGCCCAGACTGGAGTGCAGTGACTGCTCCCGCCCACCGCAGCCTTGACCTGCTGGGCTCCGGCGATCCTTCCGCCTCAGCCTTCCAAGTAGCTGGAACTACAGGCGCACGCTACTACCCAGCTAATTTTTTGATTTATTGTAGAGATGAGGTCTCACCAAGTTGCCCAGGCGGGTCTTGAACCTGCGGGCTCAGGCAATCCACTCACCTCAGCTTCCCAAGGCGCGGGATTACAGGCTGAGCCACCGAGCCCGGCTTGTTGGGTGTATTTCTAATGATTTTTTTCATTGCTGACTTTAAGTGAGAGTCTTCCAACTCTGTCTCTGTTTTTCACAACTGTGGTGACTGTTCAAGACTTTTACAATTCCATATGCATTTGAGAATCAGCTTTTCCATTTCTACCCATAAACATGAATTATCTTTCCATTTATTCAGGTCTTCTTTAATTCCTTTCAGCAATGTTCTGCCATTTTTGATGTAAAAATCTTTAACTCCCTTGGTTAAATGTGTTCCAAGGTATTTTATTCTTTCAGGTGTAATTGTAAATAGAATTGTTTTCTTAACTTCCTTTGTAGATTGTTTATTGCTGGCTTGTAGAAACATAACAAATTTTTGTGTGCTAAACTTGCTCTGCAACTCTGTTGGATTTTTAAATAAGCTCTACTTATTGTGTATTCTTTGAGATTTTATGTATATAAAATCTGTGAATAGAGATTAATTTCACTTTGTCCTTTCCAATTTGCATGTCTTATATTTCTTTTTTTTTTTTTAAGGCTTAAAATGTATTTTAATAAGTTGATGCTCATTACTGCTCCATTTCTCAAAAAACTCCAAATTTAAGATATTAGGGACAAATCAAACATGGTACACCAATAAAAAAAAAATGCACAGCACAACTACCTAAGATAGGCAAATCTAAGAGCTACTGTCAGACCTTTAGCATACAGCAACCCTGTTCCCAAGATAGTATTAGGCCTATCAAGAAAAGCTATGAACAGTAACATCATAGACACAAAAGGGCCATTCCTGGGTTGTCCTTACCCAAGAAAAAGATGGAGGCAAGTTAACACAAGATTTTTTTTAAAGATATACTAAAATGAAAATCTCTAGGAGAAAATGTCTTCCTTGGGACATAAAGGGGTAATATATGGGATATAACAGAACCGTATGTTGCCTGTGACCTCTGTGGACGTTTGCCTGAATTCTCACCTGGGAGTGAATTGAACAATGGGGCTAAGGTCATTGGGGGAGGTTTGGTTTTTGTGGTTTATGTGGCAGTGTCTCTGGGGCTGGGGGAAGGTGTAAGGATAAGGAAGCAAAACAGGAAGGACAAAAAACGGAATGATCAAGATTAATGAGGGTCCAACTAGATCCATTTTGCCATGGTTCCCCCAGACTCTCAACAATCACATTTGAGACTTCAGGAATGCACCACATAAGTGATTAAACAATACATCACACAGAACCGATTTGTTAAATACCACCCCTCTCTTGCCCTTTGCCTCTAGTATACTCCCTAGATGTTGGGAGCCAACATCTATAGCTACATGGCTGAGGCCTGTAAAGGCCCATCTGGAAGATCGCTCCTGACATAGGATATCAGTTATACCTATGATATTGGCGTGTGATTGGTGACCAGTGTGCATACATGGCAGTAAAACTTATAAGTGAATCTCAGTACACTTGATGGAAGGTGCATGGCGGAATTGTTTCTCTGTCTTTCTAAGTTTTACTTCTTTCTAGATATTTTTTAACTTCTATTTCCTGGTAGACTGGGTAGTCAGTTCTTGTTCCCGAAAGCTGTTTCCCCTAGGGCTAAGATTAGAAACTAAATTACCATGATAGTTTTGTTGCCCTGCCCCTAGCCAGGCAGAACGTTTTCTTTTGTTTCGTTAATTACCGAAACTCTGTCTGCTTCAGCCCATGGCCGCCATCTTGGCAAACCTGCATTTCCTTGTTCAACAGTGTGACAGCTACTATTTGATTTTTAGAGTAGACTTGTTAGGATAAAATATATACATATATACTCATAGTTGCATAAATTTATGCTTGCTGTTTTGTTTCCTTTTGCTACATTATTCAAGTGTAATAGTTACTATACGATTTATAAAACAATTAACGATAAGGTATTAGCTTAATAGGATATAGCATAGTATTAAAGTCCAATAACTAGATCATATAAAAATTAAAGTTTAGACATATGAAACATATGAATTATAGTAAAGTTTGGTAGTTTAAGAATAAGTTTTAACTGAGTTATAAGGCATTACGTTAAATCATAATAGGATAATAGTATAACTGACAGTTAAGTCATTTAACTAAACTTATAGATTATAGTATAGTGTTAAGTTGATAATATTAATTGTTAAAAATATTGGGAATCAGTGAACTTGGATTGAACCTAGAGTTAACTCAGAAAGTTTTTTGTATTAATCAGGGTATAGAGCAAAGAGTATAATATGAATGATTCATTGAACATTATGGAAAACACTTTGAACGATTTGTATTGAAATTGTGCACCTGTGACCTTAATGTAAGCACGGCAGGCATCATGGAATTCGAATTGTTTGCTTGGAAATTGCAGATCTCGTGGTGGTCTTGTGATGCATAGTTTGTAAAGCACGAAACTTGTACGCCCCCAGTGAGTGATTATCACATTGCTGGAGGGTATAGAAAATGGTATATAAGTTGGAAAATGTTT